TGTTAAAGAAGATATTGACATGTTTTTGCTTCAAAGCCAAGTCATTTCTTTAATCAGGGCATTAACAACCTGATTGTAAGATGGAGATGCATCATCGATAAGAATGGAGACTATTTCATTTAATAAATGTTTAGTTTTGATAAATATGTTCTTCGGGTTTTTTCATCTAAAAAAAAGTGACATTAATTTCTTGACGACCTAATAGAATAAAAAAAATTCTTTAAGCAAAATGACCTAAATAATATACAATACCTGTGAGATTATTATTATTAGACATTCTAAAAAGTTTATTTTTCATATATATTCATGTTTGAGAAATACATCAAAAAATGCACTGTAATTTATTCACAGTATTTACATGTACTATATTTAGAGCATTTATTTTAATAAACCTTAATATCAATATATCTACATGTAAAACATCTACAGACCTCACATTTGTACAAATTCTGAATTTTTTAAATAGATGTTTCACTAAAAACACAGATCTATATAATACCTACTTTTATGGAAATGCAGATTAACACCTTCTAAAGTAGGTCTGGCATTTCAAAAAATCTACAATAACAATGTTGCAACATCACTTACAATAATTAAAAGTGTGTTGCAAATACCAATACATGATTGCATTCCCAAAACAAATGGAAACAACAGAACACAATGGGAACAAAGAACCAAATGAATCAACCACCATCACGCAGATAATTTGGTATGAGCTATGGCTCAGTTTGATTGGCTAATACTACTACATAGTATGCAGTATAAGTGCACCTACACTACGTGCTTTATCAGCATCTTGTTTGTATTTCCCAAGGTTAGTTTGTAACGCATATTATGGTTCTCTTGGAGAAGCTTGTAAGATGAAAAATTAAGCAACTTAGGAAATATGCAATTCAAGAGGGTCCCATGGATGTCCAAAGGGATGGAGAGGCAAGAAGGGGCACTTGCCCCCACCTGGAAAATGAGAAACATAATTCTTTCTTTAGTCACTCGCCATATATATAAGATTTTTTTGTATTCGATTCACAATTTCATACTACTTTTGCCCCCCCCCCCTCCTGGAAAAATTTCTGCAGACACCCATGGAGCATCCCCCATTAATACCTTTCATATTTCACTGAAAAAATAATGAAACTATTTCAAATGAACAAAAGCAAGTGAGAACAAGATTATAAATAGAAAAGTTGAAGGAAACAATTAATAAAAGAAGGCAAAAAGTCTGATATTCCCATGTTTTCTTATTCGTATCCACAGTTGAATCTGATTGATGTTTTGGTTTATTGATAAAAAAACCACAAGATCTATGGGAAAATGTTTTATAAGGATATCACTTACTAAAGTATGTACATACATCAGGAACAAAAGTTCATTAGTGAATACCTAAAAGTTATGGATATTTAACAGACTTTCCAAAATATTTATAATAACTAACCTTATGTTACTATTTTGACTCCTTCGAATCTTTGAATGTTTTAAGATTGTTTTTATTAATTTTAATTTATACAAGTATCTATATGTATATTCATGCATCATGCAGATATATTTTGTGGTTAGAAATACTCATAATAAAACACATCACAGCTCTTTTTGTTTCTAATACTAATTTCACAAAGAAGTCTTCAAAACAGAGAAGAAGAAATTACTATAACAGTTAAAAAAGAACTTATAGGTGAAACTAATAATAAGGCAAACTTGCAATATACTGTATTATAAAGCAATTTTTGAATTACTCCACTTAAACAAAATTTGTACTGAGCTGTGTACACATTACAACTATACTACACTATAGTATAATGAAACCTAAAACTCTTCTTACATTTGCATTTCATGATATCATTTACTCTTTACTTTGATACACCTAAAATATTTAGATTATAAACCCATTATTCATATTATGATGGGTTCATATTCTCTTTAAATTATTTTTATATACAAGTTCTTCCATGCATAGTAGACATGATTTCAATTTATCCATTATCATCAACTTTCCACTGTAAGCGTGCAGTTTCTTCCATTAATTCCTGCTTTTCAAATCTTATTACTGAATAAATTATCTAGTTTCCCCACTACCTCCTCTCATGATGACCTAGTCTTCAACTTTCAATCCAAACTTTCCAATTCCTGCTATCAAACTTAACAAAGTCTACAAAATAGAAATATGGTTAAGTTCAATTTTGACCCACTTGAAACGTTGCACATAGCTCATACTCATAGCCTTTACATGCAAATTTTGGTTGAGACAGGCCAAATAGACTCGGAGAAGTTAGGGTGCAAACATACACACATTTCGTCTTTATGTATATGGATATATCTAGATAAATGCTTATCTTTGATAGTTTTATGTTTTATCGTAACTTAAGGTTGGGAAGTTGCTGTCCTAGAATTACGCTTTATTGTATCACAAAAGTACCAGCAAATTATTACAAAAATAATTTCAATGCGAAAAGTAGCTTTATTGATAAATTTCTTAGAATTTCTAACAGAAAGCGTACGAATACTTGAGGTTATAACTTATAATAGGCCACATTTAGATGATAGAATATGTTTCATAGCTATTTCTCTTAAGACTGAATAAACTAAACATAGAATCAATTGTTACGACAGCGGAAGTCACGTAACGCTAGTAACACGTCATGACATTCTAGAAGGATCATGTCTGTTCGTTGCAACTCTAGTCTTCTCTACGCGCCCTCTATTTATATATATATATATATATATATAAGCCAGCAAAAGAACTGACGGCATGAATAACTGCAGATTGTAGAGATAGAGACAGATAATCGAGTCAAGTCGTAAGTAAATTGCGTGAATAGTTGTGAATTATAGCGTGTGTTTAAGTTAAAGAGACTGTGGAAATTAAGTGTATTGCAAAGTTGTATTGAGAAAGAATAAACTAGTTTTATTTAAGAAAAGACTTGTATCACTGAAGTTTTTTGGAAATAATTTCTACGGAAAATTAACCAACGGCCAGAGACGTAACAAACTACTTCCTCTAGCCAGGACATTTCCTCATCAAAAGTTGTTGCAAATACAATGTCATCATCCAGGTACACTAGGGCTATCCTCCATTGTTGGCCTTTCAGTACTCTTTCCATCAGCCTCTCAAATGTTGCTGGAGCATTACTGACCCCGAATAGCATCACACGGTATTGCCAGAGACCTTGGCTATAACTAAATGCAGTCTTAGGTTTATCTGCTTCTACCATTTTTACTTGATGAAAACCTGACTTTATGTCCAGAGTTGAAAACCACCTGGCTCCACTTAGGGCATCAAGAGTATCACCAGTTCTTTGCAGTGGGTATGAGTCTTTTTCGGTTATACTGTTAAGAGCCCTGAAGTCCACACAGTAACGTTAGGTCCCATCCGCACTGCTTTCACCTTGTCAGGATCAGTTTGCACACCATGCTCACTTACAATGTGACCTAAGTAAAGCACCTCTTTCTGGAACAAGTGGCATTTCTTGGGATGGAGTTTGAGGTTTGCTGCTTTCAAATGCTTGAATGATGACTGGCCAACACCAAACAATGTGGGAGAGTTAAGAAGTTTCTTTGGACTCTGTACCTATTACCGGAAGTTTGTGAAGGACTTTGCACCTATAGCTGCTCCACTACATGATTTGGTGAAAAAAGGCCAGAAGTTAAAATGGACAGTTTCTTGCCAGCATGCTTTCAAGACATTGAAATAAAATCTAGCCTCAGCTCCACTTTTAAAGCTTCTAGATCCCTCACTGTCATACATACTGGATTGTGATGCTAGTAAAGTCAGAATTGGAGGAGTGCTGCCTCAGAAAGTGGGTGAAAACGAACATGTGGTGGCCTACTTCAGTGGGGTTTTGAGTAGACCAGAGAGGAACTACTGTGTAACATGGAGGGAACTTCTTGCTATAATAAAGAGTCTGACATATTTCCAT